TGTAGTTTGACTATTGTCAATTAAATCGAATGCTTTGTATTGCATGCTCTCCACGTTTTTCATTTTCAATTTCATAGATTGTTTATAGTGACTTTTGCTAAAATTTCAAAATCAAAAGTTATCAAAACAAATTCTATGGGACTGAGAAATATTATTTTCTACTTTTTAGTCCATTTATAAAAGCGTTGTATATTAAAAAGTTTTTTTATATTATTTATTTATTATTAATTTACGTTTATAAATTACGTGGTGATAGGCAAATTTTCTGTAAAAAATTAGTCATGACTAGGGTTCAAACGATACCATTAAAGTATCGATACTTTTACTCGCTTCAAGTAAGCATCGATACTTGTTCGGTATCGAATATTTGTACACCAATTTAATTTTAATTTTGTTTTGTACTAAATTAAAGATGGTTATATTACTTACATGATGTAGAGAACAATTTTGACAATATTCAAAAACGACGGTTATCAACATCATCGCTTGAGGTAATTTGCGCTTTTGCCAGGGTGTCAGACCGATTTGGTGAATACTTATAATTCAAACAAGTAATTTTTAAGCAAAAACAAAAACGACTTCAATTCTCGTATACAAATTTAAGATTATCGTTAATTTCTTCACGATCCAATTATTGGCTCTAAACACACTAAGTATGGGACCACACCTGAGGTACCACCTTTCCGATGAAAAAAGAATTATCGAAATCGGTTAACGTGGTCCAAAGTTATGCGGTAACATACATAAAAAAGTAACATACATATAGAAGTGAAACTTCTTAAGAAAGGTGTTAGTAACGAATAAATGCAAATGTTTATAATGCAATCAATAGATCCTTACGCAATATAACCAAGGCACTAAGCAACGTACGAACTTTTGTTTGCAAAATGCATTTATTTAAGTTGAAAGAAGACAAATTCCTTTGTTCGGCATTTCTTCTTACTCGCTTTCTATCTTCCAAGGCGAATTCATATATTCTTACCACGAATTCATATACCTATTCATGCGGTAGCAAGAGTATAAAAACATAAAATTACCTTATAAATTATATGCACAATTATCACGTTTATGCGTAGTTAAATTCACGAAATCATTTCATGGATCTGAGTAAAAACTCAGTGCATAAACTCCATTTTGTGTATAATTGAAATCATGAAATGGTGTCATGCACTCAATTTCTACTTAAACGCATAAATGATTTCATGAATGACAGAATGAATCATTTTGACATAATGCAAGCCTTAAACGTTGCGACCTTGGTTCAAATCGATCCTCAATCAAGTTGGACGTTTTGCCCACAGACATTGCAATTTTGCGAGCAGTCTCATTGTAAAATCCCATTTTTACAATTTCATAGTTTCGGCTTCCATTTATAAAATTCAATGAAAGCACGTACATATTTCGGCTGAGTTATCCATTTTGGGTTATTATTGAATAAAATAAACGCGAAATAGAATGAGTTTGTAGATGGCAATTAATATAGCGACGAGTTGTACAACTTGCCAGAAAATCAAAAATCTTTCATACAACCAAGTCACAAATTCATTCAACAGGCCCACAAACGGTGCAATCTAGAGCAAAACATCACCAAGTTGAACCAACGGTCGCTACGTTTATGGCTTTCCATGGTGAAACGAATACGGATGGTGGCGCTGATTGTGATACCGCTAACTCTCTCTTAAAAATGTTTACAGAAATATGACATCATAGGAGATTTTGTGTATTGCTTGTGTAATATACATATACATCACGATTGAGAGAAATAGAGATTGCGCCCAAGATGTATTAAACAAGGTGTGATTGACAACTCAGTGCGGCTCTCTTTTAAGGTACTATAATGTCAAAAAGTATAAACAAACGAATTAACCCTTAGTGATGCATGTATCTTGTCAGCACTGATACCCAAGGCTTTTATTTTCATTATAGTTTTGTTTTACTTACATTACCAGTAATATATGTTTTGTCAATAAAATAAAACAAATTGTTTATAAAATCGTTTTAGCAATTTTATTGTTTTTAATTGCCCAATTTTATGCTTTTGTGCGTTTATTTTTATATATACATTTTTTATCCTAAATATTATTCGACACCTATAAAAGTATGATTTTACATTAGTTTCCAATTTTATATGAGTGCTTAACTCTAACAATTTTGAAATTAAATTTTTTTCATGCGAAATAGTTTGGGTATAAACGAGCTGAAATCACTTTCCTTGAAGTGGTTTTCACAAACGCGAGATGAATCACGTAGTATAACACCACATCGATGCCGTCTTAACTCGCAACTAGGTGGTTTAAAACATCGCACTATTTTCGTGTCCTGACTTCTATTGCATACAGCGCACCGTTCAAAAGTTTTGCTCCGTTTCATCTTGGTTTCCTTACATTAAATATTTAAGCAAAGTCGAACGTATTTACTTATTACCAAACTTTAAATGTGCTTACTTGCTCTCCTCGGCGGTTTATCTCTTAACAATGTCACGTTTGTTAAGAACATTTGTTGCTTGAAAGTTTTTGTGTAAATTTTTTTTAAACAAATTCAAATTTGAAATAAAATATTTTCAAATGGGTTAACAATTCATTTGAATTTGACATTATAGCCTGTTTCTTATGAGAGCAATGTCAAAATCAATCACACTTTGTTGAATACATTTTGATTGCGCCTATCGCGGTACCGCTAATCCGCTCTTTGTGATTTTGACAGAATCAGCTGTGTGCGTGACGCCATCTTCCCCGCAAACATATTCTGAGCGTTCAGAATATATGAGTCCGAAGGGAGCCCTAGGTAGGTAAAAAATATGACTTTCAAAAACAAAAATTTTTTTGCTCTTATATGAATCTTTTAGGACTCATATATGATCCAAGTTATGAGCAGTGTTGCCGCGAAGCATTTTTAGTGGTAGCCAAATTCCTTTAAAAAAAGGGCTAAAAAGAGCTAAAAAAAAGTCGTTGTGGCTAAAAATGGTAGCTAAAATTGTTTACTTACATAATCATATATACACACCAAAATCCTTTTCGTAAAAAAGGGGAAATATACGACACCAGCTTGCTGGATCGATCAAGTGATTGTACCATCAAGCTCGATGCATATAACTTACCAGCATGCTGGTACAATATTTATTTCTTTACGAATGAAGTACAAACACGGCTTTGAAATTTCCGCCAAAATATTTTTTTACTTAGAAAATTTAGCTAATTTCACCACTCACGACACCAGCACGCTGTTACAATCATAAAATTTTCAAATAGTTTTTGAAGTCGCACCAGCAGCTGGTACAATCACACCACAAGAACATACACGGTCAATCGACTTGATGGGCCATTTAACTAATG